CCTCCAGGCCTCTTTCCCAATCGAGCACAAGCTGGCGGGTAGCTACGACTTCGTTTTGTCAGATTCGCAGGGACATCCCTGAATGCACCTCAACCCGAAACCCTCCATGTGCATGCAAAGCATGGGTTGCCTCCCATTCCTTTCTTCGGTTTCTTGAAGGGACGCAGTGGCTACTCTCTACGACAGTAGTGCTGGGATCATCTGCTATACGGTTTAGGGTTTAGAGCTTGTAGAGGTGCAGGGGAAAGGGAATTTAGGTATAGAGGTGAGGAATGATGCAAGTAGAGTGGGGATGGCCATGCTGGCCGTGCCAGGCTGTTACCTTCGGAGAAGGACAAATGCGACTGCAGTTCACATGAGCACATATGACTTCTGTTGAATTCCTGCGCTCGGCCGGGTCTGCTGCTGCTGCTGCTGCTGCTGCTGCTGCTGCTGCTGCTGCTGCTGCTGCTGCTGCTGCTGCTGCTGTCTCCGATATCGGTCTCAACTCTGAGACAATCGTACCCAAGCTGGTTCATACCCCCTAAGCTCTGTTTGAAGCTAGCATCCTTTCCTGAAATATCTGAAACCACAGCCAAGAGCCGTGGTCATTTCGACCCTTGGACACCAAGTCCATAAATTCTAAACCCCCAAAGCCCTCTGCTTCAATTAAGTGCGCTGAAAGCCTAAGAAGCTTGTTCTGCAAAATGCAGGACTCAGACGAAGGCCAGAAGGCCAGGCCACATGTTGCAACTAGGAAAGCCCTTGGGACAGTTCACATGTTCAGTTCCATCCTAGGCAACGTACAGCCTCCATGTCGAAATCGCCTTTGGCATTTGTTGTGGAGCTGTGGTTGAAGCTGACACCTGAGGTTTCTGGCACCAACCGTGAGAGTGGTAGGGACTTGGGACATCGTGGCTGCATCTTTGCCTATCACTCTTCTTGTTCAACACTGCCTGCAGGGCCTGCCGGGTCTGGGGTTTGGCGCTTCAGGGTTGGATGAGATAGTGGACTGAGAAGTTCCCTCACTTCTGGGAGTTTCCGGAAGGTTCAGGATTCTCGGAGATTGGGACGCAAATACTCGGTCCTCCACCTGCACAGGCACACCGCCTGGGCATTCGGGACATCTCCTCCAACGGGACGGGCCTCGCCCCACCAGGGTCTTCAGCTCAGAGGGGTTTGGAGTTGAGGGTTTGGGGGGAGTTGGGGGTTGAAGGCCCTGAGCTTGAGGGCTTCTATGGGTGGGAGCTGCAAGGACTTAGCCATTTTCAACATGGCTTGGGAAGTTGAATGTCTGAATATCAGCGTGTCTGTTTTTGAACTTGACGTTCAAGTGGTCAACTACGATGCTGCGGATGAGACGGCCATGGAGTCCTCTAAGACATTTAATTCCGGACAAGGAGCAAGCATTGGCTAGGAGTCCTTTGCTGGACGCAGGGTCGCGCAGCGTGTCGCTCCAATTGTTGTTCTTGAGCCACGTGTCTTCAATATGGTTGTTGGCACATGGGGGATCATCTAGGGCCCCAAATTTCCTTAAGGTTGCTGGTGTCTGTATCTTTGAAATGGCGAAGCACAGACCATGCGGAAAGATGGCTTTATGTGTTAGATTTCTGGTAGCTTCATGCCCAAGCCTTGATCCGCAACTCCTAAATCGTAGCCCTCCCCTGAAGAACATCACCGGTGCTCCGCTGGCAGGGGGATCCTCAAAAGGCTCGCCAAAGGCGAGCTGGCTCCAGTAGAGGAGAGGGCTGCTTGCTCAGCGGTTCCTTAAGGCATTGAGCTGCTGTGAGCAGTGTCCACTTCTACTCCCTCTGAGGCATGCGGGTTGTTCGAATTTAAGGGTATGGGTTCTCCACGAATCCTAAACCCTAAACCCTAAACCCTAAACCCTTGTACCAGATTTCAGAGCAACCTCCCCACATGAAAGGTGCTATGTTTGGGTTCGTCAGCAAGTTCAGATGCTTTACGCATGTAACGCAGACAGGACGGGTCCATCGTGGTGCTCCCCATGCGCTTGAGGACTGCGGTCTACATCTGACTTTCAGGGTTTCGGGTTTAGGGTTTCGGGTTTAGGGTTTAGGGTGCATGTTTTGGCAGGCGCAGAGTTTGTAGAGGCTTTGGCACTCTGAAGCAAACCCTTCAACTCCCAAGCCATCCTAAACCTTAAGCCGCACATTCTTCTAGGGCTCAGGACCCACCCTCAGTGGTGCCCGTTTCGTTTTGCGTTTCGTGGTTCGGTTCCCACATTAAAGCAGGAATGCAATCTCTGAAGTATTCCGACTCTGAAAAAGCTTGCACGTAATTTCTAAAGAGGCATCTAAAGCCCGAGGCTAAGGCTAAGGCTAATTGCACGTTTTGAACAGCCAACAAGCACTGCACTTGAGGGCTTTTTGTTTTTCCCAAGGGCCAGTGAATGCCACCGGATCATACCCGATCATGCTGTATAGTAAAAGGGTTTAGGCCTGCCCCAAACTTGTGAAGCATAGCTTGGGATGTTTTCCCTTATACTAAGTCCTCAAGAGGGATTATAACCGGCTGTGCCATAATCCCTATTGAGGATTCTTAGTATAAGGAACACCTTATAACAGTCCTCAACAGGGATGATAATAGGGGGTACCACAATCCCTATTAAGGACTCTTAGTAGAAGGGGGAACATCCCCCCAAACCCTAAGCCCTAAGCCCTAAACCCAAAACCCTAAACCCACAACACCCAAGTGGCGAGCACCTACAGGAGAGGGGATCCCAATGGAGACTGCAGTCGAGCGTGGTTCTCCGTTCACATAGGCCCAGTTGCGTGCTGGGAGCCTTCCCTTGCGCTACACCCTAAACCCTAAACCCTAAACCCTAAACCCTAAACCCTAAACCCTAAACCCTAAACCCTAAACCCTAAACCCTAAACCCTAAACCCTAGACCCTAGACCCTAGACCCCAGACCCTAAACCCTAAACCCTACACCCTAGACCCTAGACCCTAAACCCTAAACCCAAACCCTAAGCCCTAAACCCGAAACCCTAAACCCTAAGAAGACAGATTCCACGGAACTTCGAACGTTTCTGCAGGAGGTGTATGGAGTTCCCAGCTTAAGACGTAAGAGTGGCGTGCTGCACGTCCCTGGCCGCATGAGATTCTGAAAACCAGAATCTCCAAAGCCTGAGCCCTCAACGCCCGCAACCCTAGGTGTTCTAAACTGTTTAGGGTTTAGGGTTTAGGGTTTAGGGTTTAGGGTTTAGGGTTTAGGGTTTACGGGAATTTTCCGTTGTGCCTGGAAGCAGAGGATCGGCACTGATGGAGTTCAGTGTTTAGACGGCTTGAGGAAGGGGTTCTAGCTTTGTTTTGTACCCTAAACCCTAAACCCTAAACCCTAAACCCTAAACCCTAAACCCTAAACCCTAAACCCTAAACCCTAAACCCTAAACCCTAAACCCTAAACCCTCAACCCTAAACCCTAAACCCTAAACCCTAAGGGGTTCTAGCTTTGCTTTTTTTCGTTCGGGTGATGGGTTTAGGCCCAGGTTTTGGGCCTTTGCTTGTCGGACGCATTTTCAGGTAGGATTGTTTACAGTTACGTCTTAAGCAGTAGTTTTTGGAAATCTACGCGCTTTCAGCATCGCATGCGACATGATGCGCGCCCTGCCTCCAAACCGCGTGCGGACTTGCACCAAAGGGAGTCAAGTATAGCAGTCGGATTCTCTAAGGCCATTCGTTAGAGGGATATATTTCCAATTACCTGGATTCCGGTTCTGTTCCTACCATATGCCCCCCCCGAGTGGACATGAGCGGCAGGTGGTGCCACAGGAAGCCGGCTTAGGGTGTTAATTGTTGCTTACCCCTAAGGCTCCTATGTAGTACCTCTTTGGGGTAGTCTACTAGAATCCCCTATAAACTAGCCCACAAAGGAACTACATTGAAGCCTTTGGGTAGGTTTCAGGGTTTTGGGTTTCCCTCACCTCTGGCGCCAGGAAAATCAGCGCTGCCCAAGCAGCCGCCGGTCAGACCGGAGATCCTCGAATCCGAGGGAACCCCCGCCACGCGCTTTTGAACACGGGGGAAACCCAGGGGCCCTAAACCCTAAAAGTTCTATGGGCCCTTCTGATGGTCCCTTAGCTCTTTCAAGGGTTCTGAAATATAGGCCCTTGGGTTGTATAAGGTATATAAGCCCCTGTATAAGGGGTCCCCGCCCATACTAAGGGGCCATATACCTACACTAAGACCCTAAACTCTAACTAAGCCCTGCGCCTCTTTGCTTCCCAAACTCACGTTGGGGTCCCCGCTGCTCGTTTCGAGGGTGCTGCTCTGGGTTTGAGGGTCTGGGGACTGCGGACCTAAATCGGGCACGAATTGAGGGCTGGCACCCTGCTCTGTGGTCATGCTGTCCCTCAGGCTCCAGCCGGCGAGCCTGTCCTCAAAAAAGAGGCCGGGTTTAGGGTTTAGGGAAAAGCTTGCGGGCTGAGCTAGACCCTCAGCTGTAGCTCCATTTTTGGGGTACTTGCCCTTAAAGCAAGGAACCGAAATAGGGTGTTGACACAGAATACGGGCTTCCGCAGATCCCTTTCCAGCAGGCAGCATGAACTTCTCAAGATCTGCTTGCAGGACGAGGACGCAGAGAGCGAGACAGAGAAGGAGGAGGAGAAGGACGACGACGAGGAGAACGAGGACAACGAGGAAAAGGCGGAGGACAAGGAAGAGGAGAAGGAAGAGGAGGAGAAGGAGGAAGAGGAGAAGGAGGAAGAGGAGAAGGAGGAGGAGGAAGAGAAGGAAGACAAGGACCAGAAACTATCGGTGTGGCTTCTTGTGCCGTCGTAGCGCATTGGCACGGCATGCCTGGTCGACGCGCGAAGAGCTCCAACCACTTTGCAGCCATTTGCACTGTCTTACAGGAGGCATCAGGGAAGTACATCCCATCATCCGGCATGTGCATGTTAGGGTCGCTTAGAGTTAGAGCTTCATCCCATGGGAAATTCTCTGAATCCGCTCCCTTAAGACGCAGAGTGTCTTGGAGCCGCCCCGGACCTATAAAGCCATGGAGGGCCACGTTGGGCAGCTGGTTCTCTGCCGGTGCTCCCAAGCGGAGCAGACGCTGGACTTCGTTTCCCCCCCCCCCCCCCCCCCCCCCCCCCCTCCGCCAACATCCTCAACCCAGACTAGGCCTAGGCCCTTATTCCTTTTTTTGTAGGGCTTAGGTTCCCCTATACAGAAGCCCCTTTGAACCAAAAAGGGTACCCTTGTTATTCCTACCAGTAGGCCCCAGCGCTAGGAGGGACTTGCAAGCGAAGCACATTTTGGGAACATAAGGCTTCTTGAGCTCTAGATCCAACTCTGAAAGTACCCACGTCTGAGGCGTTGATAATGGGTTCGTAAGCGCGTCCAAGGGTTTAACTACTCCGGGATTTTGTTAAAGGTTCGTATGGTCTTACGATGGTTGCATGGGTATTGCTAGCTAGGCATATATCAGATCAGTATCGAGGCGAACTTATAGCAGAGTATGAGGGCTTAGGGTTTGGGGTTTAGGGTTTAGAGCTTATAGAGCTTCGAGTTCAGAGCTTACAGGGCTTTTGAGGGCTTGGGGATGTCTCAGGCTCGCAGTGCGCACATCAAGCCGGGGATCGCTTGCGACGGCAGTGTCGGCCATGGAGGAAGCCTGCCATGACAAGTGGGGTTTAGGGTTGAGGGTTTAGGGTTTAGGGATTAGGGTTTAGGGTTTAGGGTTTAGGGTCGAGCTGGGCCGTTTGCATCCGGTTTCAGGAATCAGCAAAAATGCTTCAAGCAAGACTACTACTGCTACTTCTTCTACAACTACGACCACCACTTCTAATGACAATGCTCTTACTTGTAATACTAGTCATGATAAGAGTCATTGATCACAGGAAACAAGCAAAGTCTTAGCATTAAGATCAGCAACAACCTGCCTGAAACCATACCGGACCCAACCTTTCAACACCTCTAAACCCAAAACCCTAAACCCTAAACCCTAAACCCGAAACCCGAAACCCCGAATCTCCTGAAGCCCAGTAAGCCCTAAAACCCGACACCCCCAGGACCCCAAAAGGCCTGAAACCCCAAAGCCTAGAATTCCTAGGGCCAAACCCCTAATGCCCTAAACCCTAAACCCTAAACCCTAGACCCTAAACCCTAAACCCGAAACCCTAAACCCTAAACCCTAAACCCTAACCCCAAACCCTAAATCCTAAACCCCCAAAAGCCCAAGTCCCTGAAAGAGGAGCTGCGGCTGGCTCCGTCGCCTGGTGCATCGGGGCTTTTTGGGGGGGCGCTATCCGCTTTCCAAGTTTCCCCGGGTTTAGGGTTTAGGGTTTAGGGTTTAGGGTTTAGGGTTTAGGGTTTAGGGTTTAGGGTTTAGGGTTTAGGGTTTAGGCCCTTGAGGGTCTCAAGGCTCCTACAAGTCGTTGCAACGGAATAGAAATGCATTCTTGAAAGGAGGGGACGGGTGTTGCGTGGCGGTCGTCCGAGTTGTAGTTGTGTCTGTGTGTGTGTGTGTGTCTGTGTGAGTGTGTGAGTGAGTGTGAGAGTGTGAGTGTGTGTGTGTGTACAAACCCTAAACCCTAAACACTAAACCCTAAACCCTAAACCCCAAGCCCTAAACCCTAAACCCTAAACCCTAAACCCTTGAAAGCCAAGGTCCTGCCTGTCTGAGCCGACCCACAAGCTTTGCCACCTCCTGCAGCAGCTGCCCCTACGCCGGCTGAGCCTGCGGGGCATGGAGAGGCATTGAGAGGGTTTAGGGCACCGTGGGAACTCGGGGAACTACGTTTAGGGTTTTGGGTTTAGGGGTTTAAGGATTTAGGGGTTTAGGGGGTTTAGGGGTTTAGGGTTTAGGGTTTTAGAGTTTAGGGTTTAGGGTTTAGGGTTTAGGGTTTAGAGCAGTTAAACTCCCTTACGGATGCCTTATGAAGAACTATACAGTTTTGGGGTTGAGCTTTCTGGGCAGACATGTGTCGAGGCCTGCGCGTAGAATTGTGGATTCAGGCTTTGGCGCAGATTCATATTCGTTTCCCTTGTGGGATTTTTGAGTCTATGTCCTTATGAAAGGAACCCCCCCTTTCAAAGTGCCAAAACCCCCTGCTTAAGGCCTACCCCCAAATTTTTGTCCCAACATGCAACCATGTGCCTTGAGAATTGTTTTTGAGTCGAATGGCGAGAAGGGTTTCTAGGGCTCCGAAAACCCTGAGCCCCAAAGTCTGAAGAGGCAACAGCAGCAATGACAGCAAGCGGCAACAGCGGCAGCACCAACAGCTAAAGTTAGGGTTTAGGGTTTGGGGTTTGGGGTTTAGGGTGTAGGTTTTAGGGTTTAGGGTTCAGCACCACAAGAGCAGCAGCAAGAGGCACCGAAGCAATGAGCAGCAGAAGCAACAGCAACAGCACCTCGTGTCTTGGAACCCAGCTTGGGCGTAATTAAGGTTTGGGTTTATGGTTCAGGGGTTTAGGGTTTTGGGTTTGGGGTTTAGGTTTGGGGTTTAGGGTCTAAACTCCAAGACCCCCACAGCCCTAAACTCTTCACACTCCGCTACATGAACCCGACGAACCGGCCGATCAGCTCCTCCAAGACGACATTCGGCATCCCCCAAAAAGAAAGAACAACCTTACGTCCTCAAATACATGTTTCAAATTCCGAATAGGACTAATTACCCTCAATTAATTAGAAACCCTAAGCCCTTAACCCTAAAACTGTAGGTAAACAGGGTCCCAGGTAAACCCTCAACCCTCCCTGAGGCTGTCCGTGAAGGCCTTGGCGGAGCTGCTGTGACTTGGCGTGTGATTTGGGGTTTAGGGTTTAGGGTTTAGGGTTTGGGGTTTGGGGTTTCGGGTTTAGTGTTTAGGGCTTTGAACCGAACCCCTGAACCCTAACCCACCCGCCAAGGCCCACGCCCAAGCCCTGCACCTGACACCCTAAACCCTAACCCTAAAACCCTAAAACTCTAAGCCTTACACCCTAAAGCCTAAACCCTAAACCCGAAACCCGAAACCCTAAAGACCCAGGCGAGCCGCCCCCCGATGCCAAGAATGCGACGTGCGGTTTGCCTTGCCCCTCCATTGGCCGACCTTTGGTCCCTGGCTGGAAGGCCCCGGAGGGTTTAGTTTAGGGTTTGGGGTTTAGGGTTTCGGGTTTAGGGGTTACGGTTTGGGGTTTTTCGGGTTTAGGGTTTGGGGTTTGGGGTTTAGGGTTTTCGGGTTTGGGGTTTAGGGTTTGGGGTTTAGGGCTTATAGGGTGGAGGTTGATAGGTCTTCGAGGGCTGTTAGGGTTTGACAGGGTTTTGTATGGGCTTCAAAGTCTAGCACTTGTAGGATTGCCGGCTCAGGGTTGAGACTGAGGATTTAGGGCTCATCGTTGAGACGGAGGATTTAGGGCTTATCGTTTTGGGCATATCAGGTTTTTGGTCTGAAGTTTCACTCTTGGATTGGGGAGTTCAGGGGCATGCCCCCCGCCTTCAGTGCCCCATGGCAGGTCTACGGGCAAGTCCGAACGGGAGGCGGGGGATAGCACCAGGATGCTTCTTTCATGCCTGTCCCCCAAGAAGGCCTGAAGCCGAAACTTAAAACCCTAAGCTTGTGATGTTCTCCGTTTTTCGAATCGTCCTGAATAGGGATTACAGTACCCCCTTTACCCCGTATGAGAATCCCTATGAAGGGCTGAGAGTAGAAGGAGGAACATCCCAACCCAAAGCCCTAATCCATGAAAGGCTAAAGCCCCCCCTCAACTGCCCTCTTCCGCAAAGACATCAGAAGACCTGTGCTTGCAGTTGGGTCCCTATCAGGGGTCGGAATGATATCTCACAGCACTCCCTTCTGGTCCCTATCGAATTCTATATACCAGAATCCAAAACCCTACTCTCTATATTGTGGGCCCTATATTCCAACTTTCTAACAGCACTCTGTGGAGCTTTTTATCCTGAAGCCGAACCTCCAAATTTCCCGAGGTCTTCGAAGCCGCTGTGCCCAACCCCACAATGTGGACCCTATGGAGTACGTCCTTCGTGCAGGGGTTGGGGGTACCTAAATACCCCTAAGCCCGAAACCTAACCCTAAACCCCAAACCCTAAACCCTAAACCCCGAACCCCAAAATCCATTTTCTCCTTGTTCAGGCTGCAAGTGGTCCACTCGCTCCACGCGGAGCCCAGTCCTTCACTGACCGCCTACGAGGCCGGGGAAGCCTTTCAGGGTTCAGGGTTCAGGGTTTAGGGTTCAGGGTTTAGGGTTCAGAGTTTGGTTTAGGGTTCAGCGTTTAACCTAGGTTTCGTTGGGGTTTAGGGTTTGGGTTTTGGGTTTTGCCGTTGTGTGCGACTGTGATATATGTACATATGTATATACACATGTGTATGTATGTATGTATGTATGTATGTATGTATGTATGTATGTATGTATTTATGCATTTATGCATTTATGCATTTATGTATTTATGTATTTATGTATTTATGTATTTATGTATTTATGTATTTATGTATTTATGTATTTATGTATTTATGTATTTATGTATTTATGTATTTATGCATTTATGTATTCATGTATTTATGTATTTGTGTATGCGTATGTACGCATGTATGTATGTATGTATGCATGTATGTGTGTATGTATATATATATATACACATTCATGTATTTTCATATCCACTTGCTTTTCTTTAAGCTTTGCCAAAGAGGATCTTGTTCAGGATACTTGTTCAGAGGGTTTCTAGGGCCAACCCAGCCAGGTTTAAATCCGAATGAAGCCTCAGCTCTTGGAGTTTGATAGGGCAGTTACATGGTCCCTTAATATGGGCCCTTAAATGGGGGCCCCTTGTATACCACATAAAAAACCCAAGGGCCCATACTTCAGAACCCTTTAAAGAAGGTAAGGGACCATGTTAAGGGACCATGTAACTGAACTTCCCTTAGATTCAAGGATGTGCTGCCCTAAAGCCCCAGGCCCCAAACAAAACAAGCATGAGAGCCTTGAAGCCCAAACCCAGGGTTTTAGGGTTTAGGGTTCAGGACCCTAAACCCTAAACCCTAAACCCTGAGCCCTAAGCCCTAAACCCTAGACCCTAAGCCCCACAGCGCTCTGATCCTAAAGCTCCCAAACCCTCGTTAAGAGGTGATGACTGCCCAAGCCTACAGCGCCTGGGCTGCATCAGAACCTTCTGATTCTGAGTATAGGGGATTTGAGGCTTCGGTTCCCTGTCTAGAATCCTTGTAAGGGGTTTAGGGTTTAGGGTTTAGGGTTTAGGGTTTAGGGTTTGGGGTTATACTGGGGCGCATGGCGTGCTTGCCGAGGTTTTGGGTGGTTTTGATTTTAGGGCCGCCTACGTTGGTAGTCCCCGACTCCTACTAGACTTAGAGGGGTGTCCTCAACCCTAAACCCTAAACCCTAAACCCTAAACCCTAAACCCTAAACCCTAAACCCTAAACCCTAAGCCCTAAGCCCTAATCCCTAAACCCTAAACCCTATAAACCCTAAACCCTAAACCCCCACAGGGGGGTCTACTACGTCTTGTAGAGGCCGGAGGCGGCATGCCTCCCGGGCATCGCGCTTCGTCCCAAAATCTAGGACCTACACCTAGACCAAACCAACAACCATAACAAAACCCCAATCTCCTTCTAGACCCTAAACCTTCCCAAACCCTAAACCCTAAACCCTAAACCCTAACCCCTAAACCCTAAACCCTAAACCCTAAACCTTAAACCCTAAACCCTAAACCCTAAACCCTAAACCCTAAACCCTAAACCCTAAACCCTAAACCCTAAACCCTAAACCCTAAACCCTAAACCCTAGGCCCTAAACCCTAAACCCTAAACCCTAAACCCTAAACCCTAAACCCTAAACCCTCATTTGTCACCTCCCCAGGCCTGCACTGTGGGCGGATCGAGGGCTGCTTCCGCTTCGCGTCGCCCGGGAATCAGATGGTGACAGGACTCGGGGTTCAGGGGTTTCGGGTTTAGGGTTTAGGGGGTAACTGTAGGGTTGAGGGTTTAGGGTTTCGGGTTAGGGGTCGGGTTCGTGCATTGTTTCGCTTTTTTGGGGCGTGTTTACCCTAAACCTAGACCCCAAAACCCGAAACCCTAAACCCTAAACCCTGTTAGTTCAATTTGCTTTCAGCTGTTTTCCCGGCCTGGGGGTCTCCCAGTGTACTCTGCAACTCTCGGCCGCCATTCGGTTTAGGGTTTAGGGTTTAGGATTTAGGGTTTAGAGTTTAGGGTTTAGGGTTTAGGGTTTAGGGTTTGGGTTTAGGGCCATTGCAGGGCCCATTGCCCGCTTTGCCCGGATGTTCGATCCGCCCTCGCGACGCTTGGAGGCAAGTTCCGGGTTTCAGCAAGCAGGACACGTCAGGTGTTTATCGCGTGCCTTAAGAACAGGGTGCGTATGCAGACATGTTGTATAGAAATACATAAATGCAATAAATGAATAGACGAATATATCAATAAATTATATATATATATACATATATACCTATATGTAGAATGACCCTTGAAAGTGACACATATAGGATGAACCTTGTATCCACCAAATCTGTCTGGGAATGGTTTGGGGTTTGGAAGAAGCGAGCCGCAGCCGCAAGCTGAAGCACTACGTCTTTCAGAATTAGGGCGTTCAGGTTTAGGGTTTAGGGTTTCGGGTTTAAGGTTTAGGGTTTAGGGTTTAGGGTTTAGGGTTAGGCTGCTGATCCAAACCGAGGATATTCGATCATGGTGGGTTGCGAACGCTTTGAGATTGAGGACGAACACGTCAGCACCGATCCGCGCGTGAAGACATTTCGGGTGACCTTCTGGCAAGGAGACAAGAGCTCCTCGGACATTACGAAGTCCCCCAGGGAAGAAGGGCCAAGATTCCGAATTGATCGGGGCAACCCTAAACCCTAAACCCTAAAGCCTAAACCCTAAACCCTAAAGCCTAAAGCCTAAAGCCTAAACCCTAAACCAGAGGCAGACATGAAGGAAAGCTGCGATAAGAACATCTGTTTTGAGACTACAGCCACGCCTTGCCGCTTGTTATAAGGGCCTGTATGTGTAAAAGGGGTTTAGGGTTTAGGGTTTAGGGTTTAGGGTTTAGTGTTTAGGGTTTCGGGTTAGGGTTTCGCGGTTTAGGGTTTAGGGTTTAGGGTTTAGGGTTTAGGGTTTAGGGTTTAGGGTTTAGGGTTTAGGGTTTACCTCTTCAGAGGGAGTTTCTGCGTGTGACCACCTTGAGCAGGCCTCACCGACCCCGAACCCACAAGAACCCCGCGCTACATTGCCGCGAAGTCTGCGAACCCCATCAACCTATAACCCTATAAACCCTAAAATCCCTATGAACCCTATCAACCAAATCAATCCTGTAAACCCTAGACCTATCAATCTTATCACCCTATCAATCCTGTCATTCCTGTACAGTCTGAAGCCTAAATCCTGAACTCCGCGGACACGAAGGTCGCTAACTCCGGGCCATGCCCTTTTTGGAATCTCTAAACCTGAAACCCTCAACCCTCAACTCACCCTCAACCCCCAAACCCTGAAACCCTAAAACACAAAACGCCCTAAAACCCCAAGACCATGCTTCCTAAAAAACCCTAAGGCCCTAAACCCGAAAGACCTTAAATCCGAAAGCCCAAAGTGCCCTAAAGCACTGAAGCCCAGAAACCCTTAAACCCCAAGACGCTGAAACCAAAAGCCCTAGAAACCTCTAAAGCCCTGGCACCCTGAAGCCCTGAGGCCCTCTAACGAGCCCACACTCGCAGCAGAGCTTCATGTGGCAGCTCTCAATGCAGCCACAAAGCTTCTTGCCTCCACCTCCACCGCCCCGGGTTTTATGGTTTAGGGCATTTGGGGCTTCAGGGCTTTTGGGGGGTCTTAGGTCTTTACGGCTTCGCAAGTTTTGGATTTAGGGTTTTGGGTCTTCGGGGCTTTGAGGGACTTTTTTGGGGTCTCGGGGGTTTTTGCGGATCTTCAGGTTCTTGGGGAGGACGGGTTTTTGCGCACCAGGGGTTTACGGCGCTTTCGGGTTTCAAGGCTTTAGGGATTCGGACCCAGAGTGGGCCCGTCTTCCCTTTTTTGCGGGTTCAGGTTCCCTTAGTCGAGCTTAGGTCCCCACTTAAGCCTCCTAGTTACTAATAATATTCCCTTATGGTCCCTTTGTAATTAGAAATTATATCATAACCCCCAAAATCCCAGTCTAAGTCTTAGGCTCCCCTTTGAGGTCCCCGCAAGCCTGCACCCCGAGCCAAGGCGCCCCCAGCGAGTTCGTCGACTGCTGGATGACAGACGCAGTGGTGCCGCTGGATTTGGCCGCTTGTCTCCCGAAAATCGAAACCCCAAACCCCTAAACCTCAAACCCTAAACCCTAAACCCTAAATCCTAAAACCCTAAACCCCGAACCCTAAACCCCGAACCCTAAACCCCAAACCCTAAACCCCAAACCCTAAACCCCAAACCCTAAACCCCAAACCCCAAACCCCAAACCCCAAACCCCTAAACCCCAAACCCTAAACCCCAAACCCTAAACCCCAAACCCTAAACCCCAAACCCTAAACCCCAAACCCTAAACCCCAAACCCTAAACCCCAAACCCCAAACCCCAAACCCTAAACCCCAAACCCTAAACCCCAAACCCCTAAACCCGAAACCCGAAACCACCCTGAACCCTATGGCAGACTTGGGTTCGGTGCCTGATGGAAGGATGGCTTCTGGCGGTTTAGGGTTTAGGGTTTGGGGTTTAGGGTTTAGGGTTTAGGGTTTAGGGTATGGGGCTTGGGGCTTGGGGTTTAGGGTCTAGGGCGGCCCTCATTTAGAACAAGCCCCCTTGTCTACTTCACCCCCTCAAACCCTGAAGCCCAACTCCCCGAACCCAGACCCCCGCCTCGAACTCAGAAAAAAGACGGGTTGTCCATCCTTGGGCCGCTTACTTGGAGGGGCAGGGGACTTAGTAAGCAGGTTATAAGTAGAGTTATATGAACCCTAAATGGAGTTACCCCCAATTATAACCCTACTTATAACCGACTTACGAAGTCCCTGCCCCTCCAAGCAGCAGACCCCACAGTTGGCATTCTGCACGTGAGCTTTGTTTTGGATGTTTGGGGTGTGTAGGGTTCAGGGAAGCCTACGTAAACCCCTAAGCCCCAACCCTAGGGGCGAAGCCCCAAGCCCTAAGCCCTAGGCCCTAAAGCCTAAACCCTAAACCCGAAACCCTAAACCCTACACCCTACACCCTAAACCCTAAACCCTAAACTCTGAGCAGCAAGCCCATCTCCCAGGAATGCATCTGGGATGGGTCGCTACTGGATGACTGATTACCCGGCTTCTCTGCCCGCCGACAGCTTCCCTGTGTGCTCGTTCTCCTTATCATTCTTTAGGGTTTAGGGTTTAGGGTTTAGGGTGTAGGGTTTCGCGTTTAGGGTTCAGGGTTTAGGGGCTGCTCTCCTTATCATTGTTGAGGCTGAGGCTTGGGCTGAGGCTGAGGGTTCGGAGTTTAGGGTCTAGATTCTAGATTCTAGATAGTTTGTTGTAGGGGGGAAGAGGAGGGTTCAGGATTCAGGGTCTCGGATTTTTGCATTCAGGGTTTCGGGGTGACCGAGACTCACGTGACTCAAGGGTCTTGGTTTCGCAGGGTGTGGCGCGGGGTCTTCGGCTTCTCGAAAACAGGATTTCCTTTGCGTCCACTTGCTCAAGATGCTGTCAGGCCATCTTTACTCTACTGGGAAGCATTGTATGATGCAGGGTGGCTCGTGTTTTCCATGCTTTTTGAAGTGTCTGCAAGTTGGATGGTTGGTGGTGTCGACCGCGGAGAGTGTTCTTGAAGCCATCTAGGGGCATACTGTCTGAATCGTAGTTGTGCTGCTTGCCGACTCTCCGCAACCATCCTGTTGCAAATGATGTCTGTATGGTTTGCAGAGACATGGCTCTGGAGTGGGAGCGTGATGAATCGCTCTTACGCCCCATGGAAGAAGTCTCCGTGGGACGTGACTGCCGAACCGCTGCGCGCACTGCTTCAAAGATGCCATCTCCTGTACAAAGTGGGGAGGGTCTTGAATGTTTTCCGACCCATGTGGGCGGTTCTCTAACTAGGGCCCCTTTTTGGGTCTTACATACAGTACGGCACTCTTAAGCAAAGGACCCCACAAGGGACCCTAACTTAGAGCTACCCATGTGTTGTTTGGGTACCCTGGCTGCTCCAATGATTTGAGCACAGGGCTATCGTAGCCAGTCATCCTGGGACTTTGTTTCCTGCGGCGCGCATCCTTCACGCCCTTGACAAGCCGTCCGTGTGCGGCGGCCTTTTAAATCCTAAGGCACAGGTTTTCAATCCAAGAAGGAAACACAAATACTCCAACCGAATGACCTAATCCCAAGGGCCCTACTTAGTGAGGATATCGGATCGTAGTTGTGGTATCGAGCTGTTCATGGCGGAGAGGCTGTTCATGTCACTACGTGGTTCTTGTTATTTTCCAGAGAGAACCAGGAGCCAAACAAGACTTACATACAACTCGACAGATATCGCATAGACCCTAATCACCCTAATCCCTAAACCCTCAACACCCTAAGCCTATTAAACCCGAACCTGGATCCGAAACTCCCAGCCCCCCTCGGACTTCTGCGTGGATGCGCGCTCAGATGCCACTGAGAAGGATGAGACTTGGATGTTCCATTAGCAGCTGCCTTAATTTTTTTTCCGGAGCGCCTTGCTCGGGGTCCACGCTGAGGATTAAAAGCGCATGTAGTGAGGACCGACTGCAGTTCAGGTAATGGGTTTGGGTTTTGGGTTCTGGGTTTAGGGTTCTGGGTTCTGGGTTCAGGGTTTAGGGTTTAGGGTTTAGGGTTTAGGGGAGGGGCCTGAACGATCACAAACAGGTTGTTGGGGGTTACTATAGTATAAATATAAAAGGACCCTAAGGGAATGATTGTTAGTAATTATTCCGACCCCTAAACCCTAAACCCTGATCCCTAAACCCTCAACCCTAAACCAGAAACCAGAAACCCTAAACCAGAAACCAGAAACCCTAAACCCTAAACCCTAAACCCTAAACCCTAAACCCTAAACCCTAAACCCTAAACCCTAAACCCTAAACCCTAAACCCTAAACCCTAAACCCTAAACCCTAAACCCTAAACCCCACATAGCGGGGGACCTCTGCCCCCCGAAGCTGGCGTGGGCCCCGGCGTCGGAGTTACCGGGAACTCCGTTGCTTCGATTTCAGCGCCCGGGGGGACTCCCAGAACTCGAGATGCAGCCCTGAAGGGTTAAGGGGTTAAGGGGTTTAGGGTTTAGGGTTCAGGGTTTAGGGTTTAGGGTTTAGGGTTTGGGGTTTAGGGTTTAGGGTTTAGGGTTTAGGGTTTAGGGTTTCGGGTCTAGTTGGGGTTTAGGGTGAGGCCTGAAGGGTTTTGTAGGTGCTTATAGGGTTAGGCTTCAGGGTTTAGGGTTTGGGTTTGGGGCTCAGGGTTTAGGGTTTCGGGTTCAGGGCTTTTAAGGGTTTTAGGGTTTTAGGGGGTTTGGGGTTTAGGGGTTTTGGGTTTTAGGGGTTTCAAGGGTTTTAGGGGTTTGGGGTGTACTGGTTTCGGGTTTTAGGGTTCTAGAGGTTTAGGTGTTTAGGGTTTAGGGTTGGGGGCTTTAGGTTTTTGGGGCTTTGGGGGTTTAGGGTGTAGATTTTTACATTGCGAGCGCGGACGCTAAAGGGGGACGTGTGCCAAAAACCCTAAATACCCTGTGAAAACCGTAAACCCTTAACTCTAGATTAAAGAAAACCCTAAACCCTGAACCCTAAACCCTAAACCCTGAACCCTAAACCCTAAACCTCTTCAACCTCACCCGTGGAGACTTGCGTTCGTGGGGCCTTGGTGGGTGCAGTCCATCTTCCAAAATTCGGTGCGCGCGTGGAGATTGCTCAGGAACCTCCCCAGCTCGATTTGCGGTTTAGGGTTTAGGGTGTAGGGTGTAGGGTTTAGGGTTTAGGCTTTATCAATGTGTTTCGTCTTTGGGGAATTATTTACATTAATATTCATCTCCAGGGACATCGCATACATGAAAACCTCTGCGTTGAACGAATCAGGTTCGCTACTTTCGTCCCTTAAGGGGAGCGGTTCTGCAAAGTCTCTCGGATCTTTCTAAGCCCTAACCCGAAACCCCAAACCCCTAACCCCAAACCCTAAACCCTAAACCCTATACCCTACTTAGGGGGTCGGTCCTGAGAAGTCTCTCGGATTTCGTTGGGCCTCTCCTTACTGCTGGTTAGGAGGGATGAGGGAATGAGGTCCCCTATATAATCCCTTGGCCCTAAACCCTGAACCCCAAACCCTAAACCCTAAACCCTAGACCCTAGACCCTAAACCCTAAACCCTAAACCCTAAACCCTAAACCCTAAACCTGCTAACCAGCAGTAAGTCTCACACGCGGAAGTGTGACGGTTCCATGCCAGTGGCCCAGGTAAAGTGTCCCGAGTCGCCACGGTCGGCGCACATGGGGCACCTCTTGGGGGCTTTGGGGTTTAGGGTTTAGGGTTTAGGGTTTAGGGTTTAGGGTTTAGGGTTTAGGGTTAGGGTTTAGGTCATGAATTTAGGGGTGTTTTAGTTCTTTCCAGGGTTTAGGGTTCCCCATTTTAACGCCCCACAGCTGAAGTCAACTCGTGTCTGAAACGTCCTTGCAGAATACATCGGCAATTCTGGGGGATGGCAGCGCAAATGGCAAGACTCAAGCGCTTTCAGCGGGAAAGAGCCGGTCTTTCAACTTGGTTCGTGTTCAGGAACTCAAGATGAGCTATCAAAAATGGGAGATCTCGGAAGCAATGCAGTGCCGCTGTATGGTTTCGGTAGAACCCCGAACCCTAGACGCACCTGGTGTCCAAAGATTTGAGAAGTCAGGACAGTGACGAGGAGAAGAATAAGGAAGAAGAGAAGGAGAAGAAGGATAGCAGCCGCCCGTCGGAAGCTCCGAGATGACAGAACATCTTGCAGGGGGATTCAGGAATGAGCGGGGGTTGCCCGGGGGGGGGGGGGGGTAAGGCTTATAGGGGTTAATGAGGGCTTAGGGCCTGAGTGTCTGGACACATGAAGGGTTGGTCTATAGCAGCTCAAACATGTGGCTCTTCCGATTTCCGTGCTCTTCCTAGCCCTCTTCATGGCTGTTTCTCTTGTTGCCATGTCGTTTCTGCTCCTAGAGCACGCTAACCTTGTTCCCCTGAAAAACCCTGGTAAACCCTAAGCCCTAAACCCTAAACCCTAAACCCTAAACCCTGAACCCTAAACCCTAAACCCTAAACCCTAAACTCTTGGGTCGCTTCTGCTGGTACCTCTTCTTCACAACCCTTGCCGCTGTCCTTCCTCTCACTCTTTCTTAAGGCCCTCTGGGGTGCAAAGTGGACCCTGTGCCCTAAACCCTAAACGGGCCCTAGACGCTATAAACCCAAACTCCAAACCCTAAACCCTAAACCCCAAACCCCAAACCCTAAACCCCAAACCCCAAACCCTAAACCCTAAACCCTAAACCCTAAACCCTAAACCCTAAACCCTAAACCCTAAACCCTAAACCCTAAACCCCAAACCAAGGTGATGAAGAGAAGGAGGATGAAGACAAGAAGGATTGGGGGCTCGGGGCTTTCGGACTTCTTCAGGGCTGACCGAATAACCAGGACCCGGAGTAGAGTTTAGGGTTTAGGGTTTAGGGTTTAGGGTTTAGGGTTTAGGGTTTAGGGTTTAGGGTTTAGGGTTTAGGGTTTAGGTTCCCTTAAAAGGGTGCCCTTTTTATGCCTGGGTTACTCTTGGGATACTCTTGGGCCTAGATAAAGCTCAAAGCCCTACTGCTTCTTCTTGGAGATCACGGAATGCCTAGATCCGAAACCCTGAAGTCTTAAACACCCTAGCAGTTCAAGATTTTAGCTCCTTATAACAGGGTTTAGGGTGTAGGGTGTAGTGTGTAGGGTTTTGGGTTTAGTTGGGGTTTAGCGTTTGGGGTTTAGGGTTTAGGTTTGGGGCATATGATGTCGCGCTGAGGGTCCTTACTTACTGGTCGCCCGCAGAAACAGAAGCAGTAGCAACAAGTTATCCCCCTTCCTTGGTGCCCAAATACCCAACAACAGTTTTCCTTTCCTAAGCCCCTGTAGCTCGACATTGCGAGGGGCGGGGAGGGCTCCAAGCGTTGGGGGGGGGAGGGGGGGGGGGGGGGGCGAATGCCACTCGAAACTCGAATAAACCCTAAACCCTCAGCCCTCAACCCTCAGCCCTCAGCCCTCAACCCTCAACCCTCAACCCCAAACCCTAAACCTGGATTGTTTTCAACAAGTCCGAAGAAGGAGGAGGAGGAC